TCGAATTTAAATAGATTTCATTTCTTTATTTATTAATTACAACATACATGTGAATATCTATAAACGATCTTGAACTATTGAAATAAAGAAAATTTTGATTTTTCAAAATTATACTTGTTTTGTGTTTTGGCGGAGAGAGCTGACGCTGGGTAGAATGGTGATTATTTTACAAGTTAGTTTTACCAGTAAATTCACAGGGAAGAACACAAGATTAATGTCGAAAAATACCGAGAAAATGTCTCTGAAATTTAGAGAATTTTATTATATCACGCAAATCAAAATAAATCCACAAGCCGGATTTTATAGTCAAAATTCGAATTTTACCAAAAATTGTAAAATTTCAAAAATCACGCCAAACAAAAATATGGAATAAAATAAGTATTCTACAAAAAATATAACCAAAATCGGGTTAAAAATCATCTCCTAACATGCAATTAAAATATTACCAAAAATAGTAAAAATTAACTAAAAATAGCAATTTGGAAGGAAAAATAGCGGAATTTAAGGATGAAAACGGCACACACCGAGCATAGTTAGGTGGCCACGACATGGGCACCGAAACGAGCTTTCCAGATTGTGGTCATAATCACGATTATGATAACCGTAGCCAAAGTTATGGCCAAATTATCGAAACACGACTCAATTGTCAAAGTTACGCGATCACTTGCCATCCGTGCCCCGATCTGCCAACTCGTGATACCTTAGAATCATTAACGTATTATTTGACAACTCAACATTTGACTCGGACCCTCCTACGTCAAGAGCAAATATCAAGTTAAATGAAAAGAAGTTTAATATTTTAAGAGGGTAATATTTGAAGAGGACATGATTGCGAAGTAGGAATAGTTTTTCATCACTTTATCTTGTTCTTTAAAAAAAAAAAAAAGATTAGACTATTTATACGTGAAATAAAATTAGAACTATTTATATTTGTGAAATAAATGTTGTGTACTTGTCAAAAATATTTTTAAATAGTGAGTGCTTATAACATGGTGGACCAAACGGAAATCGTGTTTGTGATATAATTATGTAAATTAATTACGTAAAATACCCAAACATAAAGATATTAATATTATAGGGGGTATCCTCAACAAAAAAATTAATGAATTTAAATATCATTTAAATAATAGCATCTCCTATGCAATCTTGGATTGTTTTAAAAATTTGTAACGAAAGCAAAAATAAACGATATTTTAAAAAAATCTTTAATTCAAGCAAATAAAGACTCCATTAAGCTGGTGTGACGAACAAAAAATAGATATTGTCAATGTCTAGAAGTCCATCTAGGCTGAGTGCCTCAATAAAATTAATATTTCTTTTCAAAATTCATATTTCATATATCATATTTAGAGTGATTGTTTTTAAGAAAATTAACATTACATAGATACCAATACGTAGAAAGCATTACACATTAATTTCGAGATCGATCATTTATTTATTATACATCAATGTCACGTGAATCAAGTCTTTCAATGGATTTCGAGTCCACAAATACAAAGTTCAATTATTTTATATAAGAAATATAAAATATAAAAATAAATAGTATTAAAAATCTCTTATTTTCGGTCAAAAAATTGTCTCATTTTTAGTTTTCATTCCGAAATTCAACGTTTGGAGGGAAGGAATTGAATTCTCATTTCTCTTGGAATTTGGAATCGAACTTTTATGCTAAGGAAAAAAAAAAAAAAAAAAAAAAAGAATTAGTACATTTTTGATTTAGAAATTCTATTAACCAACCCAACATGTCTTTAATTAAAGGGAAAATTACACTTACGGTATCAAACATTTCACTTGTCTATATAGAGACATGACGTAAACCTTTATTTTTTGGCATCCAGGGTATCAAACATTTCAAAAACTTCACCTAGAGTCCAAATGGATGGTTTCTATTAATTTGATCGTTAGTTGATCGACACTGTCGCCGCCACCTACCCTTTCATCTTCTTCCCCAATGAAGATATCTATAATCAAAATTTGACCTCACTAAAATGCAATTTCTTCCATTAATTTTTTTCTTTACATCTAAAACCTCTCAAATTCAATTATACAATTATTGACCATTTTGGCCTGAGGAGGAGAAGGTATACCTATTCAATTATAGCTCGGGCTTTTGAACTATTGGATGAGCCAGTGAAGGGGGTGCAATTTTCTATGGTGAGTCCCCAATGTCCAACATATATGAGGGCTGCATATTCATCGACCAGACTCACAACAGGCTGGCAAACGAGAAATAGACAATTTTTCTGAAATCGTGAACAAATTAATAATAGGCAAGATTCACTTTTATTATCTTCAACTAAGGGGGAAGTATCCCTCTGACCATCTCCTTGACCATTTAATTAAGGTTCGGCATCCATCCCCTAAACAATATGGATGAATGAATGAAAAATAAAAAAAAAGATTTACAGTGATTTCTTCATTGGGGAAGAAGATGAAGGTGTAGGTGGCGGGTGACTCTTGATTTGGTTTTAGGGTGAGGTACGATAGGGTGAGGGTATTGGGAGGAGGAAGAAGATTTTGATTTTGGTTTTTGTTTTTGAATTTTTAAAAGGAGGAAATGTGTTCCGACTAAATTACATTTGAAGTCAAAATTATCAGTTTTTCAATTTTTGAAGTCAACTAATGGTCAAATTAACAGAAACTATCCATTTGAACTCCAAGTGTGAGTTTTTGAAATGTTTGATATCGTGGGTGTCACAAAGTAAATGTTTGGTTCAAGTGTACATAAAAGTGAAATATTTGGTACCTCATTTGCAATTTTCCCTTAATTAAAATATTTAATGTAGTATTGTGTGTGATTCTCAACACTATATTGAAGATGATTTCATTTTTAGGCTGAAATAATTTTAAATTTGTTGATATTTATTTGCTTGATCTTATATATTATAATTTCTTTTGAAATTATTTTTAATTTGTTGTTTATTAGCTTGATTTTGTAGATTTGTGTAAATAGTTCTTTTAAATGACAAAGCCATGAATTTTCACTATCAAACAACAAGTTAGAATTTTAATTATAAATTACAAAGTTAGAATTTTTTATTTTGTGGGTAATCATATCTCTTTATCATGACCTTAAAAAATTCATTAAAATCCATAAAATAGAATTCTTTAATATCTTATTAAAGCCCTGTTTGGTACATATTAATTTTTTTATTCTCATTCTTCTACTCATTTTTAACCACACATTCTTTAATAAAATATTATTTTCCATCACATCAATAACTTTTCCTTCATTTTTAACCACACATTCTCCATCAATCTACTATTCAATAATACATTTTTTCAAAAGAATATTTCCCAAACACACTCTAAGTTTTTGAAATTCTATTCAAGTCATGAAAATCAATAAATTGCGAACACCCTCCTTACCACAACTTTTTCAAACATTTATTCAATTTAATTAGAAGTTTGTCTTTTTTGCAAAAGAAAAACCATTCGAACATGTTCGAGGTACTCGAACTTACCATAAATTTTGTTTTGTTAGATGGTAACTCTAAAAAAAAATAAAAAAAAATACATTGTTTAATTTATAATAATGACGTGAAATATTGCAACATTAATATTATCATACAATGATCTTATGAATTTACTCATAATAATTGCGGCATTTGTTTGAATTTTAATCCTTTATTACTCTTATCATTAAGTGCAAAATCTCGTAATAAATAGACTATTGAAGAGGGAGGAACATGACATTTGTAACTTTTTTCGCATGATAATTTGAATTTAGTACAACTTTGTGTGGTAAATATATGTACTTTTTATTAGATAATTATACTTTAATTTTGTTCAATTGGATAAATTCTCTTTAATTTATTTTTAATTGGATAATTCCGTTCAATTATGTTACTTGGCCCGACGGAAATTGATAATAGAATTGTTGATAAATGATTTTCGTACTTTATTTTATTGAAATTTAAGTACAATTATCCAATTGAACAAAACTGTTTGCCTTATTGAAACTAGTTCAATATTGAAATGTATAACATATTTTAAATTTATAAACTATACTTACATTATGGGAAAATTAAACCCACAATTCGTATTCCTTATGTATATTAAGTTATTAACGTGCAGCTCTTGTCAATTTTTGTAACATTTAAGTCTTTAATTCTCAATTTTTTTCGTTAGCATATAGATCTCGATACATTATTTTTGTTGACTTCCAAATTCGAACGATCAAATTGTCAATAGATTCTTTGTTACATCTCCAATCACATATATTGCTAGCAAAATTAGACACTATTAACATGCAAAATGCCCATACTTCGATGAAAGATTTGATGATCATTTGTACTCTGACAATCAATTGTCAAAAAAATATAATTTAAGTGCGGGAGAGATAATGAACAAAGTTTTGGCTATTCAAATATTAATATTGCTTACATTTTCATTGATCACATATGCAATTTTCATAGAGAATTAATGTCAAGGGTATCTATCGAACCTTTCAAAACCTTTGGACATGTGTCAATTCTTGTTGTTTCGATCTTTATAACAAATGATTTGTTTGATTGTATTTTCTTTCACAGATGATTTTGTTTAATTGTATTTCTTTTCAATGAATAATGCACACGGGATGATGGACCCCTAGCTACTTGCGTGCGTATTGAAATCTTTGAATTTTTCCTCGTCTCTCCAAAGAAGACAAGTTATGTATCAAGAAATACGGAGTCTCAAATTTTTTACCTTATTAGAAAGATCACGAGACCCCTATAGCGATACAAATGTAAGTTGAATTTATCGAATTCAACGAATTAAAAGGACCTTTCCACAAATTTCAAATTGTATGCTGTGCAGTAGCAATAATTTGAAGAATTCCAAGGACCTGTCTACAATTTCCCAAAAGTAGGAACTTCGAGAAAACTCTTTTACTTCTCTAAAATTTTCCTCCTATACATATACACGCCTCTTCTCAAATCTTATACCCTACAAAATTCCCAAAAGTCGGACTCATAAAACCCTCGCTTGAATTTGGTTCGAATCCAATCAATAAACTAATGGCTATACTATCTGAATACGAAGAAGAAGATCAAAAGCAGCCGACGACTTCGTCAGTGAAAAAGGTGCAGTTTGACGGCGTGCTTGATCCGTCGGACCCGATTGGATTTTTGGAGAGGGTTTTTGAGTTCGTGGCAAGGGAGAGTGATTTGTTCAAGAGCGATTCATTGGTGAATGATGTGAATGCTGTGGTTGGGATGGTGAAGGACAAAATGGAGGCAGAGGAGAAGAAGAGAACGAAGGAATTGATGGAGGCCGAGGAGAAGAAGAGGACGAAGGAATTGAAGGCTAAAGAGAATGGAAAGGCCGAAAAGAGAGCAAAGGAGGAGGAGCCAGTTGCTGCCGCGGCGGAAACGGAAGTAGTGAAGGAAACGGTGGTAGAGAAGGAGGTGAATGGAGAAGGTGAGACCAAAGAAGAGGAGAAGAAAGGGCCTCGAGGTAATTCTCATTGATTTTTATATCTTTTTGGAAAGATTAGATTTTTGTAGATGATTATTCTAAATCTACCGATTATGTTATTTTGTTCTCTCCAGTATTTATTTATATCTATTTATATATACCAATCCTTTGATTATACTCAGTGTTTGCAATTTTTTTAAAACTGTTATGGTTAGGTTTTCTCATGGTTGAGTTGAAGCTCTATTGTAGTGGATAGATTTATTTTGGTTTTGTATTTAATTCTTGTGCTTATGCAGAAAAATGTGTAGGTAGGAGTGGCCAGGAGAATGGGGGATAGATGCTTTCTTGCTTGAATTATTATCCTGTGTGTGAATACGTTGCTCATAGTTGATTTATGAAAAAATTTGAAGAGAAGATGGGTTAAATTCTTGTGTAGTTTTGTGTTTTACTATAAGGAATGGTTTAGGAAGAGGCTTTTGAATTTAGGTCTGAGAAGTGCTGCATTAGGAACGTTGATGTGAAGTATTCTACTTTAAGAAAATTTTGAAGGTTCTCATGACATGTATGATGCACGCACACTTCTACTGGTGTTGCGTGACCGTTTTGACGCCTTTAATGTGTCACTAACACTCATTTGGCACTCCAAGACATGTAATGCATGTATTTTCCCTTTCCTGATAACATAATATATAATTTAAATCAAAGTTATGTTATTTAAATGATTAGTCACTTATCTGATTTAAAAGGTTTCAGAACAAAAATCAAAGGACGAAAGTAATTGCATGAAGTTCTCACTATATCTTTTTTGGACAAAGTTGACTGTATTAACATCAATTTTAACCATTCATTTTCTTTCATTGTTCCCAATTTAGTGTTAGTTGATTTTTCTCTCTTCTATTTAAAAAAAAAAAAAATTATTTCTGGGGTGGATTGGGAAATCATACTGATTTGCATTGATTGTATTATGATGTTTTGATTAGCTAGCAAGCAATATTGTGTTCGAAGAAACTTTTATACTATAGCATGCGTTATAATCATATAACTTGTGCTAAAGAGAAACGGTTGTACTTTTGTGGGTACCTCAAATTAATATGCTAGGGGCCATTGCTTACTCACAACGTGTTCTTCATGGAGAGACTGTTGTTTTTGATTACTGATGGTTTACTTGTGTCCGATCAGCTCCTAACAGAGGAAATGGTTTGGATATGGATAATTATTCCTGGGGTCAATCATTGCAAGAGGTTAACATCACTGTTCCTGTTCCTGCTGGAACAAAGTCAAGGTTCATCACATGTGAAATAAAAAAGAATTATCTAAAAGTTGGGCTTAAAGGCCAACCTCTTGTCATCGATGTAAGTGGTTTGGACCTAAAAATCGGTTCATGATTATCCTGCTGTGCTTTTATTTCTATTGTAATTTCAATAGTCCAACTACTGATGCTTTATGTTTTGCAGGGGGAGCTTTTTCAGCCTGTCAAGGTCGATGACTGCTTTTGGAGCTTAGGTAGGTCTTATTGCAACCATTAATAGATTCAACTTTCTGTATGACAAATATACTTTATCAATGTAGCTAATCAATGTTATGATACCTTAATAGATATATATTTGGTTTGTGTTGTTGGAAGTGTTGAAATGAATGACAACCTATTTCTTGCAGAGGATCAGAAATCCATCTCTATACTCCTAACAAAGCAGAACCAGATGGAATGGTGGAAATATTTGGTGAAGGGTGAGCCCGAGATTGATACCCAGAAAGTTGAACCTGAAAACAGCAAACTGTCAGATCTGGATCCTGAAACCCGTACAACTGTCGAAAAAATGATGGTAGAGTTCATAAGCTCTTGCATTTTACTTGCTTTATTAGTGTCATTTAATGCAAAGATAAAAGGAAATCCATTCATTTTAGATATTGCTCTAAATTGAGTTTGAGATTTGTTGATCTTAACATAAAATTTTTTGGAGAAGTAAAAGAGTTTTCTTTCGGTAAATGTTTTTAGCCTTTTCTAGTTTCTTTTGGCTGGGAGGATCAATATTAATGCAACTGAATTGAGCGTTGAGTTGGTTTCCAATTATGTGGTATAGTATGGTCGCTCAAGAGAAAGACTAGCACATTCTGAGCGCTTGAAGAAAGTTTGAGGCACTGTTACTTGTTACCTGGTTTTGGAAAGTTTAGGGTGTATTCCCTTTCTTTACTCACTCATATCTTGTTTTGTCATTTTTGGTCTTTGCATTGTTCATCTCTTGTCAATTTATCTTTCGGATTTTTGTTCCTTTTTAAAATTCATTTTTTCCCATGATTTGTATTCAAATGCTTTCTGCAGTTTGACCAACGACAGAAATCCATGGGCCTTCCTACAAGTGATGAGATGCAGAAACAAGAGATTATGAAGAAGTTTATGGCTGAGGTGAGAACTTAAGGACCCCTACTCTTGGTTCTTTTCTTTTGGCTTTGCGCGCTTGATTGTGTGAATACTGATATTACCTATGTGAATTTGCAGCACCCTGAAATGGACTTCTCGAGGGCAAAGATTAATTAAAATGGCTGGATATGCTTATTGGAGAACTCATGTTTACTTTGTTGTGCCATATTTTGGTGGATAAAAGTACAGTTTGGATAATCATTTTGACTTCCTGCATGAATTTTAGATGGCTTTAAATTTATGAACTTTTTTCCAGTGTTATATGTGATGGTTTTGTGTGAGTGTTATGCCTTAGGTCCAATCAATTTTGGACATAAACACTTTGAATATATATAATCAATGCATATATATGGCAATATCTATTATTTAATTGAATTAATATTCTAATAAATTAAATAATAGAATCCGTAGATTCAAGTCTTGGTGATTTGTTAAATGCAAGGAGATGTGATTGTGAGATGCAAATTACATATGACTGAATCTTAAATCGTCCGTGGTTGAAGTAATAATGAGATACGGATTTTGTTATTACGGATAGACTATCGTGTGTGACATTCTTACTTGTGAAGTAAGTAGCTGATCTCACAAGCTAAAGTGTGGTGACACTTGAATGAACACGTGGATGTTTTGTTATAGAACAAAACATTGGAGACCC